TCTAATTGCATGTTATAGTTTTAATGCAGCTAATAGGGGACCTGTAAAAGCGGTCAAAGCTGTTTTTTGATCTGCAGGCTATACAAGCAAACACTTGACTAATTATTTTCACAAGGCTTCTGGTGTCAGTGTCTTAAAACTTTGTCATTGCAAGTGTGCATGATTACACTGATATGACAGTTGAAATGCTCTGTCAAAACAGATGTCAATTTTCAGTAGATTTTGCAGATGCGTTTTATAAGCTAGTATGTTGAAACTTTGGCTTTCTATAGTTGGGGCCTGTGGAAATATCAAGATTTACAGGGCCTGTATTTCCTGTGGTCTGAACAATTGCTCCTCTCTCTTCAAACATCCAAAAGATTGGCTTTCCAAAATATACCACTTAGTGTATCAGTGATTGTGTTTGTAAACATGAAAAAAGATTACATTTGTCCCCCTAATGGTGTGGTGCTCGCCTCCAATATTAACAGCCTGGGGTGGTCCGTTTGTACCGAGCAGACACGGCATGTTTGCTTGGCCCAGAATAGCTTGCACATTTCAAATGATATTTTTAGGCTATTGATCTATGAGTTGTGACCTTAGCAAAATGCAGCGCAGGAGCTGATGAGGGGAGTGGCGCATTTGCGACCTCTGGCTATAGACACAAATGCAGCTCCATGTATTTGGTCCAAAATACTGTTTCCAGCATTGATAATAAATCAGCATATTAGAATGATTTCTGAAGGATCATGTGACACTGAAGACTGGAGTAATGATGCTGAAAATTCAGCTTTGCATCACTGAAATAAAATAGATTTGAAAATATATTAATCAAATAAAAATCCAGGCTTAATGACTTCTTATAAAAACATAAAATAGTAATGTATCCAAACGTTTAACATATATATACTGCTTTTCAAAAGTTTGGGATCAGTAAGACTTGTAGTGTATTTTAAAGAAGTCTCTTATGCTCATCAAGGCTGCATTTATTTGATGAAAAAAACAGTAATCTTGCTAAATGTTGTTACAATATAAAATAATGGTTTCTATTTTAATATCCTTTAAAATATAATTTATTTCTGTGATGCAAAGCTGAATTTCCATCATCCATTACTCCAGTCTTCAGTGTCACATGATCATTCTAATATGCTGATTTATTATAAGAATTATCAATGTTGGCAACATTTGTGCTGACAAATGTTTTTTTGGAAACCGATACTTTTTTCAGGATTCTTTGATGAATAAAAAGTGAAAAAGTACAGCATTTATTCAAAATGTAAATCTTTTCTAACAATATAAATCTTTGCTATCACTTCTTAACACTTTAACACATCCTTGCTGAATAAAAGTTTTAATTTCTTTCAAAAAAGAAATAAAAATGTACTGACCCCAAACTTTTGAACTTTAGTGTATATTGTTAGAAAAGATTTCTATTTTAAATAAATGCTCTTCTTTATAACTTTTTATTCTTCAAAGAATCCTGAAAAAAAGTATCACAGGTTCCAAAGCAATATTAAGCAGCACAACAGTTTCCAGCACTTATAATAAATCGGCATATTAGAATGATTTCTGAAGGATCATGTGACACTATATACTGGAGTAATTATGCTGAAAATTCAGCTTTGCATCACAGGAATAAATTAGATTTTAATGTATATTAAAATGGAAAAACTTTATTTTATTTTATTTTTTCCTGTATTTTTGATCAAAGACACACATAAGACATTAAAATATGTATATAGTTACTATAAAGTGCATACTAAAACAAATTTGACTATATAATTTCTTGCACTAGATAAACTTAATAAAAAATGAATAATTAAACATCATTCATTGTAATAACTGAAATTACATAATTACATTAAAGATAGTTGTGAATACATGCAGGGTAAGTGCAAATGTATATAAATTAAGCTAATCAGGCTAATCGAGTATCTGTATGCTATTCTAGTTCGTAAACTAACTAAAACAGACATTGTCATGAATGGTATTTCTAGGAGAAATTTGTTTTTGTTTTTTTAAGAAAAATTATTTTATATTTGCAAAACTATATGTGACCCTGGACCACAAAACCAGTCTTAAGTCGCTGGGGTATATTTGTAGCAATAGCCAAAAATACATTGTATGGGTCAAAATTATTGATATAGGATATTAAATAAAGATCATGTTCCATGGAGATATTTTGTAAATGTCCTACTGTAAATAAATTAAAATGATATTTTTGATTAGTAATATGCATTGCTAAGAACTTCATTTGGACATCTTTAAAGGCGATTTTCTCAATATTTAGATTTTTTTTTTTGCACCCTCAGATTCCAGATTTTCAAATAGTTGTATCTCGGCCAAATATTGTCATATCCTAACAAACAATACACCAATGGAAAGCTTATTTATTCAGCTTTAATGTGATATATAAATCTCAGTTTCGAAAAATTGACCCTTATGACTGGTTTTGTGGTCCAAGGTCATACATATATTGCTTTGTTACATTCCCATGTTTTCCCATGCAATATGGGGACACAAAAATGATATTTGCTGTGGTCCCCCACGTATGTCTGTATAGAAGTTAGCCCTGCTAAAATTTATTCCAAACATTCCAAAACCAGAAATGTGAAAATGGTCCCTCACTATCAGTATAAACCCCCGTTATGAACAGAAAGCTTGTTTGTATATCTCTGCGCAGCATGATAGCTCCTTAAAAATTGCTCAAAATCTACATGGGAAAAATTGGTCTATAAGACACCCCTCAAACATGCCCCATAGCCCTGAGGAGTGGAATATCACATCATTATGCAAATTTGACAAAACAAATCATGTTCTCATCATAGATCGTGCTTGTGTTGTCATGTTTGTGGTTTGTGACAGATACAAGGGAGGAAGATGGCAGCTTCAGTCAAAGGCCAGTGAATCTGACTTTTGTCCCAGAGGAGACGGTACAGCCTGGGCCCAATTCCACCAGCCAATTATTCCCTCCTTACACTGCCTGCTGCGAGCCCTCCTACAGGCAGCTGTCCTTCCTGGCGCCCAGTGACTAAATTTGACAAAAATAGGAAATCTCTGTAGAGCTGTGCTTGTAATTTAATCCAAAAGGTGTTTCTTTTTTGAACCGAGTTTAACACAGTCTCTGTAATGCGAGCTTGGCTGCTGCAAATGGAATGGTAATTGCTTTTCGCTTCCCAGATATGTGAAAAGGACACATGAATCATCTCCGGAGAGGGATGGTTTTCAAAACCATCAGCACTGGATGTTTTTTTCCCCCTCCTCTCATACTCCTCACCACCATCACTCACCTTGACAGGGAAGTCATTAAATTGGTGATGTTGAATTCCTTTTACTGTTTTGTCAGCTTCACTTATTTCTTCAACCTTGAAATCTTCTTTCTTTCCCACAAAAGCAGCTCTATTACTGTGAGACGAGGTCTTAATTTTCATGAATTTCAAATCATTCCAGCAGATGTTCCAAAAAAAATTAGTGTCTCTAGCTACATTTCCGTTAGACTTTGTTTTATATACTCCTGTAAAGTATGTTATAGCATATGCGTGAAATGTAGAAAATGTAAAGAAATATGTGCGCAGTATGTGGGGATTGACGTTCATACTTCATGCCTGAGATAGCAGCACAATGATCTTCTTATTTATAGCTTCTCTCTGTTGAAAAAGTATTACAGCCATACTACATTACAGCAGTTCATCTTCCATGAAAGTTGATTCATAATTTGATATGAAGCTGCATACTGCATACATAAAATCGTTTTAAAATCTTACCAACCCCAAACTTTTGAGCTGCTGCTTTTTTTTTTTTTGATTGTTCAGTGCTTTTGTTCATCTTAAAAGGGTGTCATCAAAATGTCATCATGTCATTTACTCAAACGACTGTATCGCCACTGTTCCATTTTATTCTTTTGCTCTGCTTATTTTAATTTCTATGCAATCACTGACAAAATTAGCCCGAAAAAGGTCAAGGAAGTCAGACTTGCCATTCTGAGTGAGTGCTGCTTTAATGAAGTATGCAGTGGAGCAGAAATACTGGCTCAAATCAAACTGTGGGTGATCTGACGCCTCCAGTCCACAGTAACTTATACTCATGTCTGAGTAGAACTGGGCGCCCGTGTTGATGCGACGCGGCCCGTCGGCACAGTTTATAACATGAGTGATTCCCAGATCAGCGAGGGTTCCTTTATCACGAGCCGTTGACCTGAAATGAGTGGCTGTTTAACACGTCTTCATGTTTTTTTAATTACATCATTCAGAATAAGAATAAACTGCAGACACAGGCACCTATAGTTTAAGGCTGTGATGGTTCAGTACTTGCTCATCTCCGATGTACAGGCCGGGCCAGATAAGACTGACAGGTCTGAAAGGCTGTCTGTTTGTCAGCAGCAGACACTGCAGATCCGATATAGATGGTGCCTCATACACTGCCTGCATTTGAGAGTAGTGTTGTTTTTGGCAGCCCGTTTTAATTTTAGTTTTAGTCTAGTCTTTGTGTGAAACTGTCATTTTAGTTTTTATTAGTTTTAGTCACGTTCACACTCTTTTTAGTCTAGTCAAGTTTTAGTCGACTGAAAGTCTGAGCATTTTAGTCTCGTTTTAGTCGATGAAAATTGTATTTTAGTCTCTTTTTAGAAATGCAATTCTATTTAACCCAGTCAATATAGTATAAGTACCTAGTAGCATAGACGAAACCAAAATTTTATTTTAGCCAAACCCATTTCTAACAAGGTTATCTTATTATATTAAAAAAAAAAAAAAGAGTTAGAAATCTCTGTAATAAATGATATAGCCTTATATTCTGTGTTAATTCAATGCATGTGTTCTGAGTAGAATGATCAACGCACATTTTCATGGGACAGTTTGTATTCATTTGAACTTTCTGCTTCTGTCATCATGTTTGCCTTCACGGTCATCAATGGGAATTTAGGTGAAAATTAACGGATGTCCTCTTTCAAAACAAAATACACAATTCCATAATTCTGTACTATGTCATTTATTTCCATTGTCAACAAGAAAATATATCAGAAGTGAACAATGTGACATTTTTGGTCTGTTCCACTGGACTGATCAATTTAAATTCTTTTATCATCACATTGTTTTTTTGTCATCAATTTCATAAAAATTCTGTGGTTTACAACACAGTGGATTTGACCAGAAACCATAAATATGTTGAAGCATATGATACCCATTAGAAACTCACTACAGGGGACCGACCCTTAAGTCATTTAGCCATGCATGGCTCCTCAACCTTCCCATGATAAAGAGCAAGCCACAACGTTTCATTTCACTCCAGTAAAAAAAACCCACAAAAAACATGCTTGCTGGCTCATTTTGAGACAAGTTCAAAGTATAACTCATCTGGAAGAAATTGAAAAACCTGCCATTTATTTTGCGACCCTGCTGCCCTTTGGCAGTTATTCACTATTTATGGGGAAACCCTTAAATTTTGCCTTCTGATACCCACTTTGCCATTGCACTACAATGGATATTAGCAAATAAGATCTGGCCCAATAGAACTGGGTCAAGGCCACGGGGAAGGAGGACCTTAAGGGATGTGCGCTTGAAATGGGATTCATCACATTGTTACCAAGATTTCAGTTACAATTTGTAAGTTTCCAGTTTTTTCTTCCTCTCTCGGACGAGGCTCATGTCAAGATGTCGAAGCTGGTTAAGAAAGCCAGGATTAGGACAGATGTCCCTGTGTTGCCGTACAGCTTTAATGGCCTCCATTAGAGTAAGATCCTCATAGATCATGAGGAAGGCCAACACCAGGGTGGCAGAGCGGCTCACTCCCATCAGACAATGGACACATACTCTTCCTGAAGAACAGAACAGAATCATTGCATGACATTTTTACAATGCAAATGCCTCTTAGGAGGCTATAGCCAAAAGAATGCTTCAGTGCCATTAGACATTGTTTTTTTAAGGTCATACTGTTCAAACTTGATCTCAGGTCAAGTCAGTTTTATAATCAACTGTAGGTACAGTTTTAATTAAATGAATTTTAATAAACATTCACATAATGAAAAGGGAGAGTGATAGGTAATTGTTTCTAAATGGCCTAATTAGCCAAAGCACAAAAATAAATAAAAGAGCTGAAAATTTCATTTCTGAATACAATGTACAATCTGGGGATCATATTTGCACCGCCGATTTTAACAACTATTCGAAAAAGAAGTTGTAAAGTGGAAATAAAAATAGAGGAACATGGAAACATGTCATTTTTAAACTAAAAAGGGCCATATTTGCTGGGTTGTAGTAGTTGTAGTGCGCGACTTAGGTGGGAAAATGAAGCATTCCCCAAGTAGGGCAAAGCAAGGTAATGATTTTTTATATTGTACATAGTTACAGACTTGCCAGTGATATGTTATTGAATATTGCGTTAAGAATGTTCATGAGAATGTTTCCTCCAATTTAACTCACCGTTTTTTGACAACGCAGCTCGTATAAACCTTGCTGTGGGATAGAAAAACACACTTATGATGAAATCTGTGGAATCATCAGCCTCCACTCCATAGTAATCAATATCCATGTCTCTGTAAAAGCGGGCTCCAGTGTTGACATGAAGGGGTCCACTAGCAGCATTCAGAATGTGTGTGATCCTCATATTATACAACATTGACTTGTCTCGTGCCGCAACCCTGAGAAAACACAAACACAGTGAACATCTGTAGTTCTGTACATTTTCATTCAATTTCCATTTGAACAGAAAACATAATACATACTCATTGCCAATGTACACATTAGGCCACACTTGGTTGACATGTCCAGTGGGCCGTCTGTCAGCTAACAGGAAGTTCTGCATTTCAGCAACGGATGGTATTTCATGGGCACACAGCTCCTTGAGAGACATCCTGGCCCAAAAATATTTTTAAAAGTACATTTTTTATTTAAAAATTGCAGTACGGTTTTGGATATTATCACATTGCCTGACATGCAGTTCAGATGCATTCTCCAGTAGCCCATCAAACTAGTTGAGCCCACCTGAGGCCATTGCTCGTGAAATCTTCTTGTTGCTAAGAGGCTGAGAGTGCATTGACACTCCACTTCAGCTCTTAACATCATTAAAATGAATACTGAGGGCTTTTTATGGAATATCATTCCACTTAGGATTTCTTGACTGTTGTGGCAAATGTGTTTACAGCTCAGGTGTGGGAAAGAAAAGTGCGACGACAGAGCCGTGAGTGATTGAGTGAGGTTAGCTTCTGTAATAGCTCTCAAAAACACCAAAATGTTACTTTCTAAAAGCCTCTAAAATCTCCTCTCCTTTTGTGAACTTACATTTTGCAGCCGGTGGCCCTTTTTTTCCCTCGTTCTCAGATTGCCTGCTCTTCTCTCCTTGGTCAGGGACGTTGTCGACAGCCAGTCCACAGATATGTCTCTGGAGGCTGTTTCTTTTTTTAAATGGTGTATAATTATAAACCTCCCTGGATACAAAGAGCTCTTCCAGGTCTTAGTGGGCAGTCAGGTTTGCTTTTATAAGACTGTCTTTCCCTAGACAATGATCTTTTGAGCATGTTCTGCACATATTGTGTATATCTTGGCTAGACTCCCAATATTGTAAATCACTCTTGCAGTGCAGACGAAGGTAAAGGTGGGTCATCAGCGGCTTTCATTGCATGCATGCCTCTTTATCATGAGTCATTGTGCAGGGAAATACACATCTCATGAGGTCTTGCCAGCTGCTAGGTTAAACACTCTTGAAATCCAGATGTTCCTTTCGTTTGCCTTGAGGGCGAGTCTTTGATAAATGGTGAGATCTTTGCACATGCAAGTGCAGTGACATGTTCGTAATTGGAGCGTATCAGATATCCCTCTCAAAGATACGCTGTCTTCTTTGCACTCCAGCTGAAACTGTTTAGTTAGTGCACAAATGCTGTATGTGTAAAACAGGAAAAGACTTAACTAAGAGTTGTTCTTTCCATGCCGGTAAAATAGGCTTTGAGCCCCATAGTAATTATGGTTTTATGAAGCTAATAAAAAGGAATTAATGGCCTGGGTGTGAAAGCCGCATACACCTGTTCTTCCTCAAGAGGTGATTATTACTTACTATTATTGAAACCTCATACTGTATCAAAAGAATCACAAAAACAAAAATCATAGTATGTTTCATGGAATTTAATAGACTTTTCTGTTTCTTTTTTTAAAGTCCTGGTGAATCAAAGAATACACTGAAGTGCATGCATTACAATGACTAAGCTTGGCTTTCTTCAATATTTATTTGGAAAAGCAGCGTATGTAATTTGTATTGAGTGGTCCAAATTTGCCAATTTCAAATTACCGTGGTAGATCCAATCCAAGAATCGTTCAGACTGCTTTTCTTTTGTGGTTTTTAAAGTCATGGAGACTTCCTGAATTCAAAGTAAATAGTCATACAATAACATATACTCTACTGTTTAAACGTTTGGAAGGAAGGATGCATAAATTGATTTGAAAAAAATGACCATAAAGACTTAGAATGTTAAAGTTTCCATTTAAAATAAAATTGTATCAGTTTCCACAAAAATGTTAGACAGCAACTGTTTTCAACATTGATAATAACAAGAAATGTTTCTTGAGCACCAAATCAGCATATGAGAATGATTTCTGAAGGATCATGTGACACTGAAGACTGCAGTAATGATTGCTGAACATTCAGCTTTGCCATCACAGGAATAAATTACGTTGTAAAATGTATTAAAATAGAAAACAGTTTCATTTGTAATAGTGTTTCACTATTAAACTGTTTTACTGTATTTTTTATCAAATAAATGCAGTCTTGTCGAGCATAACAGACTTTTTTTCAAAAGCATATAAAAAGTTCAACCTATGTATTTAGCTATGCTTTACTATTGCTATTTCTTGAAAGCAGTTTGTTTTAGCCAAAATATATGTTGCTGCTGGGCTGATTTGTTTGTTTGTTCTTTCTATCTATGATATCTTAGGCTTGACAGTTTTCCCTGAGAAAACACTGACACGATGCAATCATGTACAGATGCATCTGCTTTCCAGAGCACTTGTGTGACACTAATGTGGTCATCAACGTCACCCCCTCTGTGCCTCTGGTTCTTCCACAGTCAGATCAGGAGATGACTTAGCTTAGTTGAAAATATATACACACACTTTGGCATAGCTGCTTGCATCTGTTCTCTGTTTCTCTTCTCAACTGCTTCCATGATTTATCATTGTACAGTGTATGCCAAGCAGCTAATCAGGAAGCAGAGTAGTGTCTTAATTGAATGTTCTCTGAAAGCAATGTGTGTCCGGGGACTCGTGTTGGTCCTGCTTCCTCTGGCTGCACAGCTGCAGGTCATGCTGGCTCGTCCAGTTAATGCTGTTACAGTTTTGGTAGGTTGGGTTATGGGGTCGTTCAAGTACATCTGCATGATGAAATGTCATAGACAATGTCATTTACTTTGAATGTGGATGTGTTAATGTAGCATATGAAGGATATCAGATGAAAAGAAAAAGAAAAATATTATGGAAGGATACTCGGCATAAAAACAGCAAGATTTTAATTAATCTAATTACACTGTTGGAAGAAAACCTTATTTGCAAACATTTCAAGGCACAGCACTGCGCCCTGCTGGAAACAGCCAGAAGCACAAGGGAAAATAAAGCAAAGCTACATGAATAATGTTGTATTTTAGACAGGGTCATTTACAGTTTATAACTGACACATGCATTTAGTTCTATTATTTGCAGTGGGAGGAGCATGTCGCTTTTCATAGAGTATCTATCTGAAAGTGAGATAAATCAATAGAAATATATTACATATCATAAAACATTTTTTTTTACATTTTAGAAATTGCATTTAGTTTGTTCACAACTATTATGAGAATACAAGGGAAAAAACACACCAAAAACCAAAGAACTTTCACATTTTTTTATTTGAACACATACATATGAATATTCAGTTTACTTGGCACCTTGTTTGTATGAAACATCTGAATGTAAATCCACTAGTGCCGTTGTTACACTTTCAAAAATACTTAACGTAGGCAGATATATCTAACAGTGTAACACATTCAATATTAATCCTGCTCATAGTCAATTGAGTCTAATGTGCAATTAAATGTAAGTATACATTGCATTTAACAATACTGTGCATTTATACACCACTAAATATTCTCCAAGATAACAAAGGAACTTATGTGAATCAATGAGCCAAATGAAACACATTATTCTGCTATTAAAACAAAAAGGTGCACTAAAATCACATCAGCAAATGCTGCTCAGTCATTTAAACAAGGCTTTTAGGATTGAGTCAACAGAAGAGTGTTGTGCTTGGCCTGCATATTTCTCCAAATGTGGCTGCCAAAAGCAATGTAAAAGCTAATACTGCTCACAGTGAGGGTTTTCTCTGCAGCTGAATAATAAACCACAATTCAATCATTTAATACTGCTTAATTTGGTATTCTACACTGAATACTGACTCCACTGTTAAATATTATTTGCAGTGTGAGGAGCATGTGGCACTTGTGTGCTGTGGTTCATAGAGCTGCAAATTGAATATATCATATAGACTTTCATAAAAAAGAAACATTCTCATTGACTTTATTTACACTACATTGTACATTAAAGTCACCCATGTTAATATGACTGAAAACATGTTAGATGTCAATTAAGTTAAAAATGTCTTAAGTCAATATTAAAGCTTTCATTCAATATTAAAGTGTTTTATAGCTAAATTCTTAAACTATTTAATAACCTTGTAAATGTATGGAAAAGTACAAAGATGGTCTATACATACACTAAACATGAAAGCCACAAGTTTTACTATGAAACTATATAAGTCACCCATGTTAATATGACTGAAAACATGTTAGATGTCAATTAAGTTAAAAATGTCTTAAGTCAATATTAAAGCTTTCATTCAATATTAAAGTGTTTTATAGCTAAATTCTTAAACTATTTAATAACCTTGTAAATGTATGGAAAAGTACAAAGAGGGTCTATACATACACTAAACCTGAAAGCCACAAGTTTTACTATGAAACTATATACAAAAAATGAACTTAAATGATTTTAGCAAATGGCTGCAATATAACAAAGAGTGAAAAATTTAAGGGGGTCTGAATACTTTCCGTACCCACTGTATATCATAAATAATGTAAACATACCTCCTCACCCTTTAGTTATATAAAATAAATGCATGTGTATCTGTGTTCATGACATATGTGTTTTTCTGTCAGAGAATAGGACACAGCATTCGCTTTCTATGTAGCTGAATGTCTAAATCCAGGAGTAGGCTCAAAAAGTTCCTGTTAGGATAGACTGCTCGTCGCATTACAACTGTTTGGATGGCAGTAGGGAGAGTAAGACGCTGACGCAGCATAAGGTATGCTAGAACCAGTGTGGCAGACCGACTCATTCCCATGATGCAATGAACAAGCACTTTTCCTATGGATAAAAGACACCGTAATTGTCAGAAGCTGTTAATACTGAACCATTGAATTTTTCTGAAATATGGATATCTCTAATATAATAAATTTTCAACATGAGCTGTTTATCAGGTTTAGAGGGAAATTGAAAGATAAAGAGGAAATGCAGATTTTTTTTAGAGTATAACAGAAGTAACTACAACAGAATGAGTTTCTTTTCTTTTTTTTCAAAATAATGTAAAACAAAACTATTTGTTTCATAACACAACAATTTTAGTTCAAACCATGTAAACACTGATGGCTTTGGTGTCATATGGGTTAGTTGTAAAAATACTTATTGACTATTTATACGAATCAGTGTTGTAGTTTCAGAGTGGACTTCAGAATTCTCCCCAATGCATTTAGATTCCCATTTGTATTTTAGCATTACATTAATATTAGTTCATATCGGTGCATCATTGACTGTGGTCACTTACCGTTCTTCTTCCTCAAGGCTTTGTGGATGAAATCAGCTGCCAATTTAAAGTACACACTAAGATCAAATGATGAAGAGTCTTCTGCTGGGATGCCATAATACACAATAGTATTGCCGTAATAACTCTGGTCCCCAATGCTGCCTTGCTTGGAATGGGCAGCATTTAAGACATGAGTGATACCCATTTTCATCAAAGCATTTCTATTTTGAGCAATGGCCCTATAGAAAAAGTAAAAGATGTGTTATGTAATGTAACAGGGCAACCACTATGGAAGTCATTAAAAGTGATTTAACGGCAGATTCGCGTTCACTAGAGGGATGCGCAGTGTATGATTGAATCTCAAACAAATAAGTTACTTTGGTAGAACAGCTTATTTTCAAATCGTACATATATATAGACATTGCTCGCGTGCTATACATCTTTAAAGAAGCGTCATTTGCATACGCTACAACACCACATGATCAGTTATGTAGTAATACTTACACGTTTCCGATGTACAAGTTCGGCCAGACCTCGTCGACTGGATTCAGATCAAGTTTACATGTGTCCAGAATATTCTCTAACTCTTTGAGAGCCAGGAGTCCGTGTTTATTTTTCTGAGCTGCCATTATTCTGAATGGACCCAGATCAGACTATTATGCCCTTGAAGCTGTGTTTCTGCTGTTTTCGCGAGGTTTCAGTATACATAACGGGTTTGGCACGTCGTGATCCACTCAAACAGGTGCTCTGTGTGACGCTGGTCGGTCACCCGATACCACTGAGCATCTCAGAGCTCCGCTGGTGATGGACCACAGACGTCTGCGCGTACGATGTTTACCTCCTCCAGGGGGCGCTCCAGAGGCTCAGAAAGTCATTGACATCAATTGAGTCGCATTCAAATCTTCGGATGTTTTTATCTTACTGGATATATTTTTACACGAAAACAAAAAGTGAATTATATGAATACCAGTGGTATCATACAGCAAATGCAAATACATTACGACATTACTATTATTAAATAAAATGTCTGGGCCAGTAATCACATTTTTGCGCGGATAAAACGGGCACCACATAGTCTACGTGTTTGTACTACATCGTCAACGGGTTTAACCTGAATAATAACATCGAAACCTTTAATAGCTTCTGAATTGATAGCCTATTGTAAAGCGTTCACATTTTGTTTTTAGATATATTTGATGTTAATTTCCATTCTAGCTTATTCCATTTCTGTGGTAGGACATTGTGGTCTGTTCCACAAGTCAAGTTTGGAGATGATTCATCCGCTGACGAGAGGACAGGACAATAAGTGACAATTGTGTTTCGTGAACATCTCTGAACATTTGCAGTATTGTACTACATTCATTGTGGAACAACGAGGGAAACAGAGTAACAGTGTTTGCTGATCAGCTTAGTTTGAATACATTTGCATATGCCTACTTTAGTTCAGTTGAAGATTCAAATCCTTGAAAGATTCAAGTCCTTAAACATTTCCGGACTACTTCAGTTTTGATAAATGACATATAAAACATAAAGACTTTGAGGTTTAATTGCCCAGTGTTGTGAGGTATTCAGTAATTAAATATGGTTTCATAATGATCAAATAATAATAAAATAAAAGAAATAAGTCATTCATTTATTAGTTAAATTAAAAAGGAATATTTATGGAGCCCACAAAATTACAGCTTTATTGACCATATATAGTACAAATATTGCTTTGGACTACTTGCATATTTTATTGAATTAAGTTTAACAGAAGTATGACACAAAGCTGTTATTATAAATAAGAGAAAATGTTTATAATTATGTTAATTATGGTTGTTGATCAGCAGTAGGCCTGCTGTTTAAATGTAGATGTTATTTTTAATTTACAGATTTCTGAATTGCATACTTTAAAAAAAAAATCTATTACTTTGACTGCAGCTTATAGCTGAATTCATTGTCGAGAGTCATCAACTGCTTCAGAAATCCTCGGTTTGGAAAGATCCATCTTCTTTCTTTAACTTTCAAGATGGCATCCACCAGAGAATAATTGCAATATATCATTAGGTAAGCTAAGACCAGAGCAGCTGAACGGCTCACTCCCACAGCACAATGCACAAACACTTTAGCTGTTGAAAAAAGATGCTTCAATACTTTATATATTCTCAATTATTAACTGATCAACAAAAAACTAAAACATGTAAATGAATTTTAAGAAGTAAAAAAATAAATCCTAACTAGTGTTATTCATGTGTAAAAATATCATACTGTTTTAAAAATGGAAATTATGTTGTTGTTTTTAACATACCACCTGTTGTGCTGAGAGCATCATGAATGTAGTGTGCTGAAGGGTAGAAAAATGATGAAATATCAAATGTAGGCAGGTCATTTGCCGGCACACCATAGTACTTTACGGTTGTCCCATAAAAATCATCACTTCCTTTGCAACACATTTTACCATGTGCAGCATTTAAAACATGAGTTATACCCAGTCTCCATAGGCCATATCTGTCATGAGACATGTACCTGTATATGAAAGAATTACATAATAAAGGGTGAATGTTTTCTTTTAATCAACACATAAGTAGGAGAGAATTCCCACATACTGTAAATGCACTTACATGTCCCCCAGAAACAAATTTGGCCACACTTCATCGACATGGTTACAGGATAGCTGACCCCCATGTAATATATCCTCCAGCTCTTCAATAGAGGGACTTTCAGACAAAATTCGATCTACAGTCTCCATTTTCAGGGATAACAGAAGAGCAATGGGAAGAACCCACAGCTCTTTGACTAGGCTACATGAGTGACATCTCCAGGTGTGACACGTAGCCTACTTCTGCATTACTCTGTTTACCCCAGTAGATGTCAGTGTATGGCTATTCATTCAATATGAACAAGTCCTTTCCCAACTGTGTCAAAGCAAGCCTTTACGCAGCAAATTGTTAATAAACCAAAATCACTGACATGTGTCTCCATTTTGAAGTGTGTGACTGTTTTTTTTTTTTGCTTTCAAATACTGATTATACAACGAGTACAATAAGTCTAAACTAGATTCGGAATGAACAGTGAAGTGTCGTTTCTGAACGAACTAAAGGAAAGTTGAGTGATTCAAGAGAATCGATTCACTGGAGTGAATCAAATCCCCCAGTCTGTCAACCTGCTCAGAACACTACACGGTCAGCACCAACTGCGCCTGCGCCAGTCTTTCCACAGCCGGGCACGCGCCTTCCCTATCCGAACGCACGCGCTTCGAGTCTTCCCGCAACATCCTCGAGAAGTTAGTCACGAGAGACCCGAGGGGAGCGACCGTTGATCAAGGCGCGACAAACATCCACCTTAACACCGCGAGCAGTGTCCACTGGCCTGCTGGTGTTCTATGGTTTGTTTAATCGGTTTTATCGAAACAGTTTTGGTTGGCTAAGCTGTAAAACACACCCCTCCCGTGAGGAGTAGACTGAGCTCAGACAGGAGTTTGGTCATCAGCATCCGCTCTGCAATTTCACGGTGTGCTAGCTACCTATCCGCCACCAGCCTTATGGATTTTACTCTACCGTAGTTTTTTTTAAACGACATATTTGAGTAGTCGATGCTTGTTTGACTAGGAGGTGGTATTTTTGATTAGACGGGTGTGGTAGATACAAAGGATCACACATGTAGCCGTTGTGAAGCTAGCTGAGGAAGTGGACTGTTACTTTTCCATCCCTGTTTGGTGGAAGGAGTCGCTCGTCTTGATGATTCACTGTTATGGATACGCGAAATGCCACATAAAGACTGATCTCTGTCACTTCCAGAGAGACTAATATCTTCGCCATCATTCACATGATTGCTTGGAGCTGTCTGCAACTGTATCGTTAAATGATTTAGCTATGACACAAAGCTGTTATTATAAATAAGAGGAAATGTTTATAATCATGTTAATGATAGCTGTTGATCAGCAGTAGGCCTACTGTTCAAATGTTATTAGATGCTATTTTTAATTTACAGATTTCTGGATTGCATACTTGTTTTAAAAAATTACTTTGACTGCGCCTTGTTGTTTAATTCATTGTTGAGAGTTATCAACTGCTTCAGAAATCCTCGGTTTGGAAAGATCCATCTTCTTTCTTTAACTTTCAAGATGGCATCCACCAGAGAATAATTGCAATATATCATTAGGTAAGCTAAGACCAGAGCAGCTGAACGGCTCACTCCCACAGCACAATGCACAAACACTTTAGCTGTTGAAAAAAGATGCTTCAATACTTTATATATTCTCAATTATTAACTGATCAACAAAAAACTAAAACATGTAAATGAATTTTAAGAAGTAAAAAAATAAATCCTAACTAGTGTTATTCATGTGTAAAAATATCATACTGTTTTAAAAATGGAATTTATGTTGTTGTTTTTAACATACCACCTGTTGTGCTGAGAGCATCATGAATGTAGCGTGCTGAAGGGTAGAAAAATGGTGAAATATCAAATGTAGGCAGGTCATTTGCCGGCACACCATAGTACTTTACGGTTGTCCCATAAAAATCATCACTTCCTTTGCAACACATTTTACCATGTGCAGCATTTAAAACATGAGTTATACCCAGTCTCCATAGGCCATATCTGTCATGAGACATGTACCTGTATATGAAAGAATTACATAATAAAGGGTGAATGTTTTCTTTTAATCAACACATAAGTAGGAGAGAATTCCCACATACTGTAAATGCACTTACATGTCCCCCAGAAACAAATTTGGCCACACTTCATCGACATGGTTACAGGATAGCTGACCCCCATGTAATATATCCTCCAGCTCTTCAATAGAGGGACTTTCAGACAAAATTCGATCTACAGTCTCCATTTTCAGGGATAACAGAAGAGCAATGGGAAGAACCCACAGCTCTTTGACTAGGCTACATGAGTGACATCTCCAGGTGTGACACGTAGCCTACTTCTGCATTACTCTGTTTACCCCAGTAGATGTCAGTGTATGGCTATTCATTCAATATGAACAAGTCCTTTCCCAACTGTGTCAAAGCAAGCCTTTACGCAGCAAATTGTTAATAAACCAAAATCACTGACATGTGTCTCCATTTTGAAGTGTGTGACTGTTTTTTTTTTTTGCTTTCAAATACTGATTATACAACGAGTACAATAAGTCTAAACTAGATTCGGAATGAACAGTGAAGTGTCGTTTCTGAACGAACTAAAGGAAAGTTGAGTGATTCAAGAGAATCGATTCACTGGAGTGAATCAAATCCCCCAGTCTGTCAACCTGGTCAGAACACTACACGGTCAGCACCAACTGCGCCTGCGCCAGTCTTTCCACAGCCGGGCACGCGCCTTCCCTATCTGAACGCACGCGCTTCGAGTCTTCCCGCAACATCCTCGAGAAGTTAGTCACGAGAGACCCGAGGGGAGCGACCGTTGATCAAGGCGCGACAAACATCCACCTTAACACCGCGAGCAGTGTCCACTGGCCTGCTGGTGTTCTATGGTTTGTTTAATCGGTTTTATCGAAACAGTTTTGGCGAACGCACGCGCTTCGAGTCTTCCCGCAACATCCTCGAGAAGTTAGTCACGAGAGACCCGAGGGGAGCGACCGTTGATCAAGGCGCGACAAACATCCACCTTAACACCGCGAGCAGTGTCCACTGGCCTGCTGGTGTTCTATGGTTTGTTTAATCGGTTTTATCGAAACAGTTTTGGTTGGCTAAGCTGTAAAACACACCCCTCCCGTGAGGAGTAGACTGAGCTCAGACAGGAGTTTGGTCATCAGCATCCGCTCTGCAATTTCACGGTGTGCTAGCTACCTATCCGCCACCAGCCTTATGGATTTTACTCTACCGTAGTTTTTTTAAACGACATATTTGAGTAGTCGATGCTTGTTTGACTAGGAGGTGGTATTTTTGATTAGACGGGTGTGGTAGATACAAAGGATCACACATGTAGCCGTTGTGAAGCTAGCTGAGGAAGTGGACTGTTACTTTTCCATCCCTGTTTGGTGGAAGGAGTCGCTCGTCTTGATGATTCACTGTTATGGATACGCGAAATGCCACATAAAGACTGATCTCTGTCACTTCCAGAGAGACTAATATCTTCGCCATCATTCACATGATTGCTTGGAGCTGTCTGCAACTGTATCGTTAAATGATTTAGCTGGGGATCGATCATCCACAGCTAGCCCATTAGCCAACTCCCCAAGTGATTCGTTTAGTACAGTATTAACAGTTTATGTCGTGTCAGTCCTTTTGATTTTACCGATAGTCATTTAGATTTGAGTCGTTTAGAAAATGTCCTTTTTCAATTTTCGGAAGATAT